TTAGTGTTTTAATTATGTTAAAAACTGGATTGGTAAAAAGATATGAACAATAAACTTCATCAACATTATAAGTGTTTTCTCTCTAGCCTCCACTAGTGCCATTTAAACTTTTTGATATTCCATGTACATTATCTTACTTAAATACAAGATTCACAGAGATTTTTTTTCTGCATCTTCAGTGCATGTCATTTTACTCTCTTGATCTGTGGCCTTTGGAATGTGATCTATCTGGAAGCAAGTTATTCATCTTTCTTCTATTCCTTCTACAGCTGTGAGGAAGATGTGAACGAATGCGACCGCAGCAATCCAGAGGGAGAGTGTGAGAATGGTGGCATCTGCGTCAACACTCATGGTTCTTTCTACTGTAACTGCACGGCAGGCTTCGTGGGCCAGCGCTGTGGACTGCGCCCTGTCGTTGTGCCCAATATGCAGGCTGGTCCGGCTGTGGTCGGTAAAGAGGAGCTGATTGGCATCGCTGTTGTGCTTTTTGTCATCATCACCCTCATCATCCTCTTCATCGCTTTCCGAAAGAAGGTTTTCCAGAAGAACTACTCGAGAAACAACCTGTCTCTGGTCCAGGATCCGGCCACGGCAGCACTCCTCAACAAAGCTAATGGTGTTCAGTTTAAGACCCTACACTGCACACCCGGAGACCCGCTCAACCTGTACTCAGAGCCAGGGCTGGGGTCCACCGTGATGGGAGGGGGTGGGATGATTGGACCCCCACAGGTGCCTGTGAGACCTATGGCATACACGCCATGTTTCGTAGGAGACCCACGCTCAACACTGGAGAAGATGGTGGATGGGTGTTGTGTGGAGCATACAGAGATGAGCACTTTTCACCCAGAATCACCAAGGATCCTGTCAGGAACCACCAGGAGGGGGGTGATTGTGTGCAGTGTGGCCCCCAACCTTCCGCCAGTGTCACCCTGTCGCTCAGACTGTGACTCCATACACAAGAGCCCGTGGGACAGTGATGAGGGTAAGTGTGTATGCACGTGCTGATACCTGCCAGTAGAACTTGCAGTGAGTTTAAGTGATACTCAATGAAAGAATACTCAATTCAATTCAATTTTATTTGTATAGCGCCAAATCATAATATACATTGTCTCAAGGCACTTTACATAGAACAGGGCTCGGCAACCTTTATTATCAAAAGAGCCATTTGGCCCCCTCTTCCCCCAAATAAAA